CACTTTGATCTTTCCAATTTTTTAAAAAAATAAATATTGCTGAAAATTATAATGATTTATTTATGCATCTTCAAACCTCTATGTTCTGATAAGGATTCACTGATTTGTCAGCCTGATAAAGCTACAATTGCAGTTAAAACTGTAACTATCAATTAACGTTTGAAGTTATATTTACACAGTAATATTTCAAAGCTGAACAAATAACTTACTATTTTTATCAGTACATACAGAATGATGTATTAAAAAGAAATTTATTTCACTGTTAAATATTACATATGGTTAACTAGAACCTATTACATTTGGTAAATAATTGAACACTTATCGCTTATTAAAGAAATGTCCATAGAATTTATTTCTAGCAATGTTTATTTTGATGAAATTGTGAGGAGCTTCTAGACAGATGGTTCGTAATAGTGTAGTTATTCTAACTCAGCTCGTGAACAGATTTTCTGTAGCAAGAAAAATATGGTAGAAATGGGGAAAACATGGGAATTCTTCCAATGGAGGACATAATTTGATCATATTTGGCACAGGGATGAATCAGCAGCATGGTAGTGCAGCTCTGATTGCTCTACGCTGACTCTCAATTCTGTCCATGGTTTATACGTCATCCAATTTTTGCATTCCTGGTTTAGACAATAAGATAAACTGCGGGTCTGAGTGGTTTGTCAAAAACATGTTAGCTATGCCCATAATTGGTGCTTGTAGCCCTACTCGTGTGAGCATCACCACAAACATCGCAGGCGCTTGTGGTCCCACTCACGAAAGCAATGGGTGTTTGTGCACATGCACACTCAAGCGTTTACCCCTACACAAAAACATTCCTTCTTTTCTCCCTTCCCCCCCCCCCCGCTCCAGGCCACCAGCCCCAAAAGGTTGGGGAACTCTGGATTAGAATAACGAAGATGGCCATGGATCCAAATACAGGACCTTTTTTCCCCCAAAGCAAATGCAAATAGGGAACTACAAGAAAGCACAATTTTTGATTACCACACTATAAACTGAACTAATTTCTGGGGTCAGAAACAAGGTCTTTGTTAGAGAAAGTGATCCTTCAAATGTAAGTCCTGAGCCTTTTAGAGCTTTACATAGCAGTGCTAGCACTTTTTAAATTTAGCCTGCTAGGTAACAGAAAACCAATGTTGCTTATAGGATTATTATGACCCAACCCATTTAGAAGAACAAATTTAACAATGTAGCTGAATTCTGCATTAAGTATACTTTCTGGAGTTTGTTTAAAGTAGCCTAATAGTTAATATTCTGAGCCCAAATCATGCTGTTCAGAGTGCAATTTCTTGAAGTTCATTCTTTAAACTGAAAGTTTATGAAGTTTGGGGTGTGGTGTTTTGGACAAAATGGATTTGCTTTGTAGTGTATGCAAACAATCTCCCAAGCAGTTTGGAGAAACAGAGTATTTTTGATTTCTGTGGGATGTTCCATTCTTGGAAACGTAAGTTTTACACATATTTCATCATGAGATTATGATAGCACTGATCCACGAAGGTATGCTTTCCGGTCCTGCTGCAGGAGGTGCAGCAGATTAACCCTGGTTACAGGCTCTCTTGTCAATGAATCTGTAAGTTTACTGAGAGATGGAGTCATGAACAGGTGTGGCCCTGTTCCTTTTGATGTAATGCTACCTCAGCCAGCAAAGGCTATCTTTCTAATTCCTAGGCTTAAAAATCAACTAACCAGAACAATTTTGTTTTCTCTAGATTCAGCTTTAGTTTTCTGCCCCTCATCCAGTTCAGCACTACCTCCAGGCATCTGTCAAAAACTTGTACAACCTACCTTGATTCAGGTGGAAAGGAGAGAGAGAGAGTTGGATCTAGGTGTTGAACTAACAATGTGGTTAAAAACAGTCATTCTCTGCATTTCTGGTAAAAATCCATGAATGAATTATGATGTTTGCATACAAAAATATAATTTTAAAACTGCCTAGTGTTTATTAAAATATTCAGAACAGAAAACATTGACATGGATCTAATCAGAATTACAGGACTAAATATTTTCACATATGGAAAACGTATGTTAGATACAAATATACTGAAATCAAATGGACATTTGACTCAAAGGATAAATGCATTCTGAATTAAAGATATGTCACTCTTTAATATTTTATCAGACTGTTAGGGTATGGTCTCAACCAACCTCATATATTTTTCCTTTAGTCACCAAAACTTCAGTATATAAAATAATAGATACGTGGAAAATTAGATAGTATATTTCATTTTTATTTTAGTTTTCCATATTTCTAAATTAATGAAGGAAAACTTTAGAATCATTTAATGAATAAAATAGAATAAATACCATACTAGAGTAATAGTAAGCAAAGCTACTGAAAGGAAAAAAAATCTGAAGCCTATTATTTTTTAAAACAAATAACATTAAAGTATAAAAATATTAAAACTTAAATTTAAAATCCCTGAAGATATCAAGGTCCATATCTTCAAACGGTCTTTCTCAAAAGCACTTATATGGTGGGTATGCACATAACACAAAATTTAATTCCAGTAAAATCATTTGGAAAGCCCAGTTCCTATCAAGGGTGCTGATGCAAGTGAGAGAAGATACCATTCCAAGCTCAGTATGAAAATAATTGTACCAGTATCACCTTGCTACTTAACCTGAAAACCTTTGCAGCTAGTTTTACCCTTTGGCCTCAAAGCCGTAACTGCATGAATGCTGTGTTAGGTATTCACCACTGTTCAGCATTCCACTATCTTCTTTAATCAGTGTTTTGTATTCCTTCACCCAGTCTGGCTTACAGAAGTCTTTCCAAGAGCACTTTCTGAATGTTTTTTTTAAAACTATGTAATGAAAGGAACATGGTGGCTCTCGTGGTTAGGACATTGGGTTGGGGTTTAGCAAGCCCACATTCGAGACCCGAGTGCTGTCATGGAGAGGGGTGAGCTCTCGTCCTTCGTTCCAGCTCCTGCCGGGAACATGAAAGGAACCACCCAATTGGGCACTCCTGTCTAATCCTTTGAACCTGACACAAGTGCAAAAAAAATAAGTAATTCATTTAAGATTCACTTTATTCCTTTGCAAATTTTTATGTTGGACCATAACTATATGAAAGAAAGAGATAGAAATGTTTTAAAAAATTGCTTAAAACTTTATGTATGTATTTCCAAGAGATTTTTAACAGGAGTATAATTTTTCAACAATGTTCCATCTTAATGCTGACTTACTATAGAAGCTTTAACTACAATAGACACATATATGTTTTCAAAAGATGATGGGTAAATTACTAGGTGATCATATAATATACTATAAGTAGCTGATGGGACATTTCTATTTTCCACTTGTCTTTTAATTACACAGTTTTAAGATAATTATGATGTATAAACAATCTTTTTTTTTCTTTCTAGAACAGGCAATATTTTCCTTGATTACTGAAAAACCATAAACTCCCATTTAGTTAAAAATAGTTATAGTACTATTCAATGTATAAAAGTGACCAATATGCTAAGCAACAAAGGAACTATTGATAATTATGATGGAAAGTCAATGACAATGGAAATTTTAAAATCCATACTCTAATATAGATTTTCAATTCTCAAAATTCTCAGGAAGTATAACTTACATCACAGCGACAAATTACAGCTAAAATGTACTCTTTTATCAGATATCTAATATAAACTATTTCCTCTAAGATTTTTGTACAGTATATTAGTTTTTAAGAAAAGGCAATTTTATGGCATAGTAAAATTGTCTAGAAAGTAGTCATAGCAATTAACATACTTATAAAAAGAATGTTTTCATCTGTAAGAATAAAATATGTAAGAAATAAAATGAATTTGTAGGCAATAAAATATATAAGCAATAAAAACAAAATATTACAAAATAAACACCCCAAAGAGTTAATTAAACTATAACTTAGGTTATCTACCAAGTTGTCTTTTGGAGCTTGGGGTGATATTCTCCAGCATTCTCTCCTCTAATTTTTCCCACAGCAACCAACGTTTGGGACAGACTGGGCTAAAAAAGCATAACTGGCCTAAAGCTACTCACTGTATGGCTTAGAGTAGACTTGAATCAGGATTTTTCCAGTCATAGTCCAATAACTTAAGTTATCATACCATACTGGACCACCAATTTAATTAATTAGTTAATTCCAATTAAAAGACCTGTACTTCTATAGTCTATGAAAAAACCCACACACATACTGTGTTAAATTATTATGAATACATAATTTTGTGTAGCATTTTAATTGTACAACTTTCTAATAAGACTGCCTGCGTAAATAGATTGTGTTCCGTTCTCGGACATTTTCACAAATTATCTTTCTTCTCCACCAACTATTCTATAAATAGTTTAATACAGTACATGAGTGCAATCTTTTGTGGGGAAGGAAAGCATAAAAATCTTGTGCAAATTTAGCCAATGCTCTCCAACCTGTGTTTTGCATCTCTGGAGCTCTCTCTAGCCACAACAGTTGTAAATACCATAATGAGGTGGGTAACACAAGGGGCTGCAGGGTAAGCCCCAACACAAACTCAATATAATTACACCCCACCCCAGCCCCCACTTCTTCCATTCTGCATTACTGCTACACCCATTCTGGTCCTCAATTTGCTTTTCTGCTAAGAGGGAAAACCTGTATTTTTCTTATTTCCCTTCCCCCAATCCTCTTCTGTTATCCTACTTCAAACCACTAAGCTTAATTTCAACACTGAACGAATTAAAATCAGCAGAAGACGAAGAGGACAATACATAATAAAAGGACAATAAAAAGGATTAATCAATTATTTTTATCTCCAGTGACAAGCCAAAATCTGCAAGCTCACATGTGATTTTATTATTGCAGTTTCTTGAATGTAACATATTGACTTTTTCCGCTTTCTAGGATTTCTCTGAATCTTCTATATTAATTGATAAAAAATCAGCATATTCTAGAATATTAGTAGAGATAAAAATACTCTGATATGATATGAGAATTGCTAGTTTTAATACAAACATTAAGAAACATTCATATGGAAGAAGCTTTTCTTTACCTTTAGAATAATACCAGGCTCCTCTTTATCTGAAGCAATAAATAAATTATGCCCGCAAACTACTCCTTCTGCAAGGAAATTCTTGAACAACAGATTGGAGTAAACACCATGTACATCTTCCTCTGCAGGAAACATATACACGTTATTAGAAAATAGATATATTACTAGGAAGGCAAACATGCTTGTTATTTATTTATTAATGTATGGCATCTACAGAGATCATGCAATCCCAATATACAACATGAATAAAATACATTATACATACAAACACAAATATAACTTAAATAAATCATCAGTATATATATATGGATGGATGGATGTGTGAAGAATGTGGACAATATAGTACATGAGATAAAGTATTAAATTAAGGTAAAACCATAATAAAATCACCATAATATGGCACCCTAGAATTGCATTAGATGTTATCATTCAGTATCTAAGGAAGCTGACCATCTAATTCAGGCATGTCAAACTGCCGGCCCATGGGCCGGATACATCATACTGAAACCGCGCCCACCCCATTGCTGGCAATGGGGAAAAAGTCGTGATACATCGTGTGACGTCACATGATATCACGAGTTTGACGTGCCTGATGTAATTGCTATTCAATTTACAGTTTAATTAGTCTCTTAAATGTCAAGATACTTTCCACCATCATCTGTGCTTTAGAGAATACCTGAATTTATTAAAATATCAAAAACAAAATAGCTGGTACTTATCAACTGTAAGAAATATCAAAAAATATCACTTGTTTAGATGGTTCAGATATTTCTCCAAATATTTTCTTAATATAGAAAAGTAAAGGAAATGCTGTACTCTTTTATACTTTAAAGAAGCTTAAATAATTCAACTGTAAGTAAGATTAAATATTAAAATCTGACAAAAGGGAAAGTGAACCAACATATATTTTTGGTGCTTTGCTTGGAGTTCAGAGATGCAGCTGCAGGCAACTTTAGCCTACATCAAAAGTTAGAAAAAATGAGTTACATGTCAGCTATGACCTGAATAGGTGGAGTAGATGTGTCACCACAGTTAAAATTTAATACTAAAATATATATATTGAAATGTTCTGAAAAGATTTTAGAATCTATTAATCCATCAGTTTTCCAAATTAAGTACATATTCGAAACATTCATTTATCTACTCTATTTCTTACTATCTATGCATAACTAAGTATAACTCTAATTTTCATGGCAATCATAACTACCTTGGCTTTTGCTACATTAATATTTACATCCATGCTTTGTTGCATCCTATAATTTACAGTATTGTTTACACATAAACACACAAAAATGTAGCATTGGATCATTTTCCTTAAAAAAGATCAATGAACAAGTATAATGTTTTGGTCCATTTGTGTAATTGGGCTCTCTTTGTCTTTATTTGTTTTAGAACAAATCATGTTTTAAGTCATATTTATGCAGAAATATTGAAAATTCAAAAGGGCTCACAGACTTTTAAACAGCACACACTGTAATTAACATTTACTGCAGATCATTCTGTTCTCATCATACAAAAATCCTTATTATACACACCTACACCAGTATACATGTAGTCCTCGACGTATTAGGTGACCCTAATAACATAGTAACCATTCAAAATTATGACCTGAAAAAGGGACTTATGACCAGGATGGGGTCAGCCCCACCATAGTAACATGACCACGCTTTGGGTACTTGGCAACACCATTGCAGTATCCCTCAATCACATGACCATGTTTTATAATGATTTTGCTGAAAACTGGCAGTTATTTCTAATTCATGCTTTATTTTCAATATACACCTTTCTTTACACATTCAGTAATCAAATTTCAACTCCATATTTGCTCAAGTCATTCCAGAATCCAAGCCTATTGAAATATGTAGTGATTTTTATTTCTCACATTTACATACTCATAGCAAATATCTGGTCTACATATCTCCTGCTTGCATAATTCTGTATTATATTTCTCAAATTTTGCTCATTAAAGAGTACATCAAAACAGAGTTCTGCCACTTTCCCAGGTACTCCAACTTATCCACCCACTTTTTTTTGCTAAATTTCTCCTTGTACAGGGGAAAAATAACAGCTTTATTCCAACTGTCACACATCACTTCTTTTCACAATGCTGTTCCCAGTAGTTTCTACATCCTTGTTCCTTACATTGACTTTCCATTCCATTCTTGAAGTATATATATTTTCTTCTTAGTTATTCTACTTTCACAGTATCACAAAGGTTGTACCATAGGGGTAATCTGATCCAGCTCCCTGTTCACTGCAGCATCAAACAGAACATTTCTGACAGCTAAACTCATCATTTCATCTGGTATTCTGCCCACTAACTGAATACTTAATAATCAGGAAATTCCTCCTAATATTTAGTGTGAATGTACTTCTTGTAAGGTCTGGTTTTGGTATTGCCCTTTGGAACACCAGAAAATAACTGCTTTACTGTGGTTGGTTGGTTGGTTGGCTTAGTTGTCTTATTGACTGAAAGTGGATTATTATTTTTTAAATCCAGTCATATATTACTTATTTGAGTCTGCATAGTGAGAAAATTGTGCTTTTTTTCTCCACTTATTTTAACTCTCACTACCTAGACTGAGATGGACAGCTATTTAAATTGCTTAAATCAAACCTTTCAGCTATTTGAAGACTGCTGTCACATCTCCCCTCAGCTAAATTTTCTATAGCCTAATCACTTCCAGATCCTTTAACCATTTCTCATACGGCTTGGTCTCCAAATTCTTTTTTTTTTCTAATAAAAAGTTTTTTATTTTCCATTTATTCATACAAAATACAATTCAATTAAAATAAATTCCTAACCATTGGTACCGCCTGCCCATTCCCCCTAGGCTGCGTCCACCCTCTCTAATCCTTCCCTACTTCCCTCCTCTTTCTCTCCTCCCCTCCCCTTCTCTTCTAACCATCCTACTTCCTCCCTGCTCCTTCCTCCCCTCTCATCCCTCTCACACACATGAACACAGCATAGGGGAAATGCCCAAGCATTTACCATGACTATATTACATTACCCACCCACTCACCCACCCACCCACCCTCAACCCTCCCTCCCTCGCTTCCCAGAGCAGAGTAAAGGGTTATTAATAAGAAAGTTAACAATAATAAAAAAAAGAAAAAAAAGAAAAAAGAAAAAAGAAAAAAAAAGAAAAAAAACATACTTAACCTTTAACTCCCCTTAAATTAAGTCATATAAACAAATCTCTACAACAGTTACTATAAAATTTACTCATAAAGTAAATGAAACTTTATAGTCCCATATTTTTTCTGAATATAATCTATCCATCTTCTCCATACAATAATATATCTTTCTTGTGTATGATCCTTCAAATAAGCAGAAATTTTTGCCATTTCTGCAAAGTTAGAAACTTTAAATATCCGTTCTTCTAAAGTAGGCAACGAGTCCTTCTTCCAATACGAGCCTACTAATAACCTTGCTGCAGTTAATAAATTCAACATTAAAGTAGTTTCTTTGTCATTTAAATCCACAAAGATACCCAATAGGAATAATTGAGGGGTGAACTTTATCTTCCTTTTAAAAATCTTTTGAATGTTCCACCAAATCATAATCCAAAAAGCCTTTACCTTTTTACAATTCCACCAAACATGAAAATATGTCGCATCCATATTACCACATCTCCAACATTTGGGTTGTAAATTTGGATACATACAAGATAATTTTTTAGGATCTAAATGCCATCTGTAAAACATTTTATAAAAATTTTCCCTCACATTTTGAGCTTGTGTAAATTTAACATTTCTAATCCAAATTGTCTCCCATAAGTCCAATGGGATCGGATCCTGGCTATTCTGAGCCCATTTAATCATACAGTTTTTAACCAATTCTGTTTCAGAGTCTAATTCTATTAAAGCATTGTAAATTCTTTTTATATGGGCCTGACTCTGATCTTTAATCTGAATAACCAGATTTCCATCTTCTAGTGTTATTCCTTCTTTCTTATCTACAGTCCACCTGTCCACTATTTGTAAATACTGAAACCGTGACTGTAGAATATTTTCTTGCCTTAATACATCTAGAGATTTTAAATGCCAATCCGAACCTGACCAAGTTAATTCTTTATACGAAATTTTATCAAAGTTCATCCCCTTAGAAATCCCCTCAATTGCATGTCTAGGAATCCCCCAGATGGGTATTTTATAGTTTAACCTATAATAATAGGTTAATCGAGTTCCAAACTCGAAGTAAGGCACTCCTCAAAATATGTGAGTTGAAAGCCCGGTCCACTTTCTTATTAAAAATTAAATATGCATGCCAACCATACATTAAATCCCACCCTTCAAGAGCAAGAATATCCTTATTTGTTAAATTAAGCCAATCACTTATCCAAGTTAAGGCGGCTGCATCATAGTATAATTTCAAGTTAGATACTTTAAGTCCTCCTCGGTCTCCAAATTCTTTATCATCTTTATAACCTCCTTCTGAACTTGCTCCATTTGTCAGTCTTTTTAAAATTGTTCTGCAGAAAACTATACGCCAAAGAGTCTGACCAGTCTACAATTACTTCCCACAGCCTAGAAGTATCACCTTATTAATATAGCACAATATAAACAACACATTGTTGTTTTAAAGACAACACAATGCTACCTCATGTTTAACTTGTGTTCAACAAGGATACATAGACTATTTTCACATGTACTGCTGCCAAGCTGAATCCTTTACATTTTTCTTACCTAAATGTAGAATTTTACATTTCTCCCTCTTAAATGTCATTATATTCAACTCAAGACTGTCTAGGTATTTTTTAAACATTTTTTTTTAATTCTCTCTTTTACCTAAAGTATTTACCCACTTCCTGTTTTTTGTCACTAGCAAACTTTGCTAATTAATTCACTCATCCATGAATAAAAATGTTAAAAAACAGAGAGTCCTGAGATGCAATCCATTTGACCCAGAGATTTAAATTTATTCAAATTAGCTAAGATCTCTTGGCCAATCCTTATCCTTCCTAAACTGCAATTCCTCCTTCCCTGGTGGCATAAATATGATTAACTAAGACTATATTTCTCTTCTGCAAGAACATACAAAAAGGTTAACAAGTTTTATTTTACTATCATCTATTATTGATTCATGATTTTTTCTTCACAACTGACTTACACACTCTTT